TAGGGTATATTATTGTGATCCTGTCTGTAGCTACGCCATTTACAAGATAGATACGCTAGATAGAAGGAAGTTAAAACTGCTTTACTCCTACATCATCAAAATGGGCAACGTGTGACGATGGATGGTTATCAATTTAGCTTCCCTTAAATAGTACCATAATTATTCATTTATTGGTGTAGATCACTCTCCCAAACAAATGAGTACAAAGGTCTTACCAATGTGTCGCAATCGCAAGAGATCCTCGTAAGCCAGAGTCCTGCTCCTGCATAATAGAGTGCTGTGACCGACTAGGATGGTGGTCACCGCGACATGCCGGCTAGTGGCTAGCAGCCAGCGAGCGGCTAGGCAGTGGCTAGGCGGCTACTGAACGTTCTAGCGACTAGCTCTAGCGACACACGCCGCTCGATAAACTACCGATGTGCAGGGTTATCGCGGCTCGATAGCGAATTAATATCAAAACATAATACACTCGCACGATACCACTTGTTTACTGTGCACAAGTTTTAGTTTTCACTGACTACCTGCACTTAATACATGACACTGCGATTGAAACTGATCACCCTGCCTACAATATCTATCATATAAATTATGTCGATTCATAGACTATTGATTTAACTGTGTGCATTTGTAAAGTTTAGTTAACTAATCGAACAAAATGAAGAAGTAATGAATAATATACCACAACAGACTTTTCTCGAAACGACGGACAAGAAGTTTTTGAGAATCGGAACAATAAATTTGGGATCTAAAATAATTTCGCTTCATCGTGAAATATGAATCCTAGTGCGGATATGTAATCTCCTAGAAGTCCAGAATAGGAGTAACGTTTTGTGGGGATTGAATGTAATGATAAACAAACTCAACACTAACATCCGTGCACCATTGTTGGACCGCGGCACTTGTGGCACACCTCCACACGAGGTTACTAACTAGCTCGGTGTCTCCGTGTTCCTAGTCTCCAATATGTACTAGATTAGGTGTAAAAGAGCACAAACAACTGGTTTTTAAGTGGCGTAACTGGATTTACCTAGGCTGAACCGGTTGGAAAAAGAGTTAGACCTAGATCTAATCGTCTTAGACCTGTAAATACCTCCTAATACTTCTATTTTATAGCACCAATATTATTTGTCAGGGCAAATTGCAAATTTAGTTTTACAAGTCTCGGAGAATAATCGCTATAAAGAAGAAGGATGTTTGTAACATACTAATAGATCCGATTTAACAATGAAGTAGACACACATTTTGTCCTATGCTGGTAAATAAAGCAGTTGTGTAGTTTGATTACGATAATTCTAAAAGCTAGGTTACAGTATAATCTCTGGTGGCTACTGAGTAAACAGGCAGCTGTGTGTACTCACACGCGGCTGAGGGACGGGCCACGGAAGATTAGTTGGCCATGTGGCCTTGACAGTACTTTAATATCGGTGTTCGAGCTAAGAGTAAATAATATTCATGCAAATATGTTAGCCGTAATAACAAAGACTGAAAATGAGAAAATTGACAAATATCTATTGTGTTCACATTTTGTGTAAAGCAAAGTGTGTACAATTATTATCTACGAGTGTTATCGACATAATTATTATCTACAAATCAGTCTAAGTGAATGATAACGAAAATACTAATGACTAGTTGTGAGCAGTGAGCAGCTAGCTTTATAAACGATTGACACTTTCAATTTAAGGATTCAAAATGCCTGTATTAGGTCCTAGGCCAAATAAGGAGCACACACAAAACTCGTAGAGTATGTTGACATAAGTCATAAGAGTGGCATGACTTCTTGCATCCAGTGTTACGAAGTAGATGCGCTGATAATGCTTCTTCACTGGTAAACCACTTCACCAGGAATTAGTAGATATCACCACAAGTAATGTTGACTCGCCACTTTGAGCATATCCTTATCAGCCGCGTGGAAAAATTTAATAAAGCCGAGTACGATACGATACGAGCGGCGGCCGCACGTGTGTACCGTCTTAAATCTAATTATGTTATTAGTAAGTCTGTTGTATGCGTTGTCTCACTGTCTCACTGTGCAATATCAACACAGGGAATGCTTTGGTCAGTGAAACGTCACTAATATCTAAATTAAACACGGAAAACCACAATATTATTAAGTTCAACTCATCTGTAATCGCAATGAAAATATTACAGCCAGGATTAATCGTCTTTGATAACACCAAAATAGCAGAGATACTCAGAGAATTATAGATAGGTGGTTATCGAAGTATAGCGATTACAATGTGAACCTTCTGTGTGTGCTTCGATAGTGATATAGGAGAGTATCAGACTGCGTGCCGGCCTCGCAGTAAATAAATATCGCCTTCGATATGACGAGGTAATTAGGGACATCGAGCGTAACCAGCTCGTGTTGCAGCCGCCTGAGCATTCAGAAGCATTCTATTCTATTCTATTCATTCTGAAATATAATACCACTAAGGTGGACCTAACTCCAATAGCAGAAATACCAGTCCGAATTTCCTGGACCCTTTTATCGATTGACCACCCGAGGTCGATCTTTCAAGTCCGAACTGGAGAATTTGAGAATCCTTTTAATTGTCAGTTATTATAGAAGGACTGGAAGTGCAGGAACACGAGCGCCCGGTCCCTGGAGCCGTGCACAGAGCATGATGTTCGGCGGATGTGTAAATAAAGAACAAACATACGACTTGATTGAAACTGCCTCGGTATCACCATGACTATGACTATGAGGTATCTCCACGGATTGTTGGTGAATTCGTTACTTGGTTATTGAATGTAGTTCACTATCTAATTTAGAAAGAAAATTGCAGTGGATTTACTTATAATAATGCTTGCCAATGCATACACTGCATACTGATGGGTATAATAGCGTACCAGTCTACCACGCTAGCAATAAAAGTCTCAAACTGAGTGTTTAAATTTAACGTGGAAACGGATGTAACTACAGAGACAGGTCAACGTTCAACAATATTTTAAAAGCATTTGCTGAACACTAACAATATTAAGAGGGTGCCAGAGACAGATATTGATTAATTTTATTTTAAACAGGTAAGAACCATGCAATTATCTAGGTATAATTGTTGCATGACCATAGAAATCATTATGATTAGTATTTTACTTGAAATAAACAACAAAAAAGTTTTTAATCACACGAGTCCGTTTTTAATGCCTGTAATAAAATTACAGGATTAAGCTGTGGATAATTTATAGTAACTAATAATTGTTATGTACCATGTGCTTTTCTAAATAAATTTCATTTCTTTCTTTCATACTATTAGTAATTAGTACGGTGACATTTCGAGCGAGCGCGAGAGGGCAGCACAAGTTCCTGGTAATCGGCAACTATTTCAACAAGTAGGCCTAACATCACACGACCTATGTCTGCCAGTCCTGATTCATTTATTGGACACACCCTAAATAACTTTTTATTTGTTTACATAGACGTCACGGAAGGCAAATATTATCAGCAACACCGGCCAGCTCGCTAACCGGGTGATAATCATTCGTGTATTTAATGGCGTTAGACTTTGGCACATTCAATTATGATGGACATCGTAACATATGCAAGCACGTGTTACGTAACGTGCACATCCATCACGTCTAGGAAGGTTATCAGTATCACCATTTAGGTAAGTGTTTGGAGACGAGTCTGGCAACATCCTCAGATTGACTCCAGCACAGCATAGTACTAAGTAACCATGTAGTACTAGAGCTAGTGTGTAGTTTTTTGATTAAGAATTTATACCCCAATAATTAATTTAAATAGATAACTCCGCGAAGGTCTACTTACGTAAATACACGTAAAACGGAAAAAAAGGCCGATGCCGATTCGGAGTCACGGAGAACCTAACGGGTAACCGGGGGCTCCGGCTCGACGTGCAGGAGAAGGAACGGGGTGGTTTTTAGTCAGTAAGAGTCTGACACTCCCTTCCGCCTCACCCAGGCGGGAGCAGTCATTCGATGATTTTCCCCCTTAAAAAAAAAAAATACCTACCTACTAATTTGTGATCCTTATAGGTAAGTGGATAGATTGTGTTATTAAAATACAGCTGTATTGCTAATTATCCCACATAAATACCTAATAGTAAACATTCCTACTGCAAGGCACTACTACACTATCAATCTGGCTTACCTACTTAAAGCGTGGTAAGTACCTACCTAATACAAATGCCATAAAATAACTAACAAAACAAAATATGGAAAATGTAAAATCTATGTGGATACCATCGTGAACATCATGATGTCATGAGTCAAGTACATGTATTAGCCGCCGGTCTATCATTTCTCCATACCGGTTGTTAAATAGTTAGCACGTAGGTACCTGCCTACCTGTCGAGCTAGCTGCGGCTGTACAGCCAGTCTTGAATTGGCAATACGTATATATACGTGAAGCGGAATATTAAAGCCTCTCTACAGGAACTCAAACGGTGTAAATGATAGTACTGATCTACCTCTCCACAGACATCATCGTAATGTTTCAATTTACGCCGGATAACGTCGATAAAAGTTCAAGGTCGCCCGTCAAGGTCATCTCAGACATTAACAAAGAAATGGGTCTTTATCACACGGAACACCCGGCCATGCGCTAAATGGGTACTTACTGTTCGTACTCACAAACGTTGGCGGACCAGAATAATGTAAACTCGATAACTGGTTGTCAATCATAGCCCCTTCCAGGCGCTTCTTTCTGGTAAATTCAATAGAAAATAAACAATGCGAGCCGCACCTGGGTGGGTCAGTATGCTAATAAGATTCTAATAATACTACAGATTAACATACACACAAGGTAACTACCTCTCTACCTACATTGTATTTTGTTTTTATTCCATGACATTATCAACCGAGTGTTATCAATACAGATTCCTTTTCGTGTGACGGATTGCAAAATCGATTTTCAATTATTGTAGAGTAACGTGTCAACCGGCAGTTAGTGACGTTGAACCGGGTGTTATTTAGATGAAACTAGGAAAACGAGAGGCGAGGGCGGCCGAGGGTCTAGTGGTCTTTAGTGGAGGAGTACTCACCGGGCTCGGCGCGCTCGGCCTCGTCGTCCGACTCGGTGCCGGAGTCCCGCTCCTCCACCTGCAACAAACAAGCAGCCTCAGACAGGCGTGCGTGCAGCTCTGGGCGTGGGCCGGCCGCGGGATGTTCCGCTCCTTTGTTCTGCGGCGGCCATTTTCTGGTGGCGGAGTGACCTTCAGAGTCGTAAGCCGCGCCGACACCCACCTTCTCGGAAACGCTCTCCTCATTCAACGAATGCGTTCGCAGCTTGTGAGTCAGGAATTTGAGCATTATTGAGCGTCGTTCGCTCCGCTCGTCCGCGTCCGCACTCAGCGCTGCGGCCGGCTGCCCCCTGCGCACTGTGCTTGCACTAGCACCGCTGTCCGACTCACTCGCGAGATCTACGAGCCCTCACGCCTATGGGAAACGTTCCAAAAACATTTTAAACCTCAATAACATATCCGCATATCACTCGCACGCGTCCGCACCCGACCGTCTCCTTCGAACGCCGGACTACTACTAGTTTAGTTAGAGTAGCCTTGCGTACGACGCAGTCAGCTGAAGTGGGCCCGACTCATTAATACCGAAAGGGCCTAAGAGCGATTGCGTTAAATACTGCGGCCCGGAATGAAACTCGCGATTTATATGATAGATACAAGCATCGGACGGAATTCAAATCGTTTCATGGCTTAAAATCTCGTTTAAATATAGCGTAAAACATTTTCGAGTGGCACTCCAAATGGACTCGCCCGGCAACCCATTGATGACAAAGAACCGGAACACGCAGAGATCGGACGCGATTGGACAAAACATTACAGAATAGGATCGAAATTTAATGCAACATCTTGCGTCTCACTCTGACGATCGTGGTAATAGGTCGCCGCGTGTGTTCGAGCGAGACAAACTATACACACACCGACAGTTATATAATACTGGCCTGATAATAAATCGCTGATAAAAAGTTGCGCATGTTAGCACACTATGGACATTCTAGTCACATACTGGCACCGGCAAAATATTTACCGTGTAATGCTTCTATTTTCAATGATTTCATTTTACTCTCGCTACTGTAACTTTTACTATACCCTGTGAGCTGTGATTTTGGCTCAATAAGCGCTTGAAGATACACCTAACATTAACTTCTCTATTAGTATACTACTAGAAAAGAGACATTGTATACAATGTCTTGATTACTAAAACTACATTATACGTTTTCTTATGAATATCATTCAAGAATTTTTGTTCATAGAATTTCCTCAATAAAATATCAGTACTTTCTCTACAAGAAGTTATCGCTGCCTTCACTTATAGGTAGGAAGATAGTAGTAGTAGTCAACAATGGAGTCTCATCCGCTGTAGTCTGTCGGAGCGCAGTGTGTATCGGGCGGCATCGCGGCGCAATGAATAGCGCGACGCCATGTCTGTTACCTGTCGGTTATCGCCGTCTCACACTACGGGAGCCTCTCGCTCACACACCGCGCGATATTTCAAATTATCTTCAAGCTGCGAAGTGCGAATACCTTCCTTCCTCAAAAAGTGGCATAATCGTAATACTTTTGAGATATTTTTATACTAATTACCATTTTTATTTCGGAACGAAGGAAAAATACTTATGCACACTAACCATAACTTAGTTATTGAAACAAGCCTAATACAAACTGTAGAGTAGGTTAAATAGGTGCAATAAATTAGTCACAAAAATATTTCAAATAACGTGCATAAAATCGTACTTTAACAGGTGCTGTGCGAAATAAAAAATATTTCGTATAATAATATTATGTCAAACCTTGTCGTATTACATAATTATGGATATGCAGCGACTTTCTTTTGAGACATGACACAAATATGTTTTGATGGTAAAGAAATATGTTTATAATAACTATCGTGAGACACTAAATTAACTAAAAGCGCGGGTTGCTCACGTGAATATACCGAGGAAAGCATATTTAACTGAAAATAAGTTGCTATATTTACTAACAAGGGAAACAAGTTTACTTGTGTACATTTCGACATTTTCAAAATATAACTAACATGGTGGTAAAATTTTATTACTGCAACTGTAATCTCTTAATCTTAATAACCTGTGAAAGGATAAAAACAAAATAACAAGAAAAAATAAAGAAAATGGTGCAAAAAGACAACATGTTTATTTATTGCATTTGATTAACAATTTCTTTGCAATCATTCATCCACTCAACGGAGCGGGATACAATGTCACGACAAAGAAATGCAACAGAAACCACGTGGTTACCTTATACTATGAGGGAACAGGGACATTTTACCAAATTGACTGTCTATTCATCGGTAACGCTATAAAAATTAACAAAAATAATACATAAAACTAATTGACGTTAGTTCGCGTAATTTATTGGGTAATTCCATTCGTGTCAGCCAATGCTGCTTAGGAATATAAGCCGCAGCGTGGCTCGAAACTAGATAAATTACGTGAATAACGGCTGAAATTAAAAATCTGCGAATCGATCTCAGTTTTTGACTAAAACACCATACAACTGTATTCATGTAAAACATCGACGTTAATCATAATTTAATGTCTCACAAGATTTGCAATCCCATGGATTTCTTACTTTATAATGAGGTAACGATAATAGACAATGAACTGGATTGTCCCCGGGAAGTAGAGAGGTACAGGGGCATACAACAATATAACGACACAGACAACAACTTGACAACAATACCTACACTTACACTATCATATATATACATTATATTTAGCAGGCATCTGACATGCACCGGACATAAGTATGTCGTACTTAACCGGCAAGATTGATATTATAGCAAAAAAAATCATTATGTATCATCTAAACTATGAAAGATTATCTTTATACAATCATGTCATAATATCGTAAACATTTTTCATGAAGGAAAATGTTGATGGAAATCCCGCGCTGTATAAATTGGGTAATTGCCAACTAGGCAAATGCAATACTTTTTTCCAACTGTCAAAAACGTCAGTTTTCTATGAATTTTGTACGAGATTGTGTATCGTCACATTTTTAGCGTACAACAGCACACTTATTTCTTAAAAATTTGCTAAAAATACTACAATTAAGTTGGTCATAAAATCGATTAATGATAGTGTGATTATTTTGTAATATTTCTTGTACTGAACAGTTGAAATAATTTATTTTTGATAAGGGAAGTACCCAGTTACATATGTTGCTTTGGACCCGAGCACGTCCTACTGAACGACGCGGTGGGCAGATATTCCTCAACTGTTCGGAACTGTACTGCGATCCCCAAGCCTCCTGCCAAGCATGGGGCTGTGGCAACTCTCTCTTTGTTCAGTAGTGTCCGCCTCCTGACGATAGTGACGATATCACAAAACCAGTGTCAAAATAATATAGTAAGTTCTGTACCATGCATTTGTATATTGTAAAATAGTATAGTTTTATTATAATGTCAATCCTTTTTGGCAAACTCTACCGAAATTGGTAGCTTTAATAGCTGTGATGTCACAACATGGCGGTACAATATCCTATTGTTGTATAAAATGCATAGCACCTACCAATATAATATGAAACATGTATTATTTATTTAATAATAACATTACAAGTATTATAACCTATGTACCTATACTTAATAGCAGCCATTTTAGTATAAGTACTGTGTACTATTTAAGGTTCTTAGATATATATTTACATATTAAGTATTATATCGAATTAGTGAACTCCTGTCGAAGGTAGCAATGTTTTTGTTTCTCCAGTAAACGTACGAGATCATTTTTGTCGTAGAAATGACAATAGAGAGAATTATATTTCAATTACGTATGGTATTTACAGATATGACAACAAATTATTATTATTACATTGTAGTCTTGAGTTAAAGAACCCAATATAATATTTTAACATTATATATTTGTTTGTTAATAATATCTAAGGAATAATTCACATCTGTATTCTGTAATTTAGTATCTAAGCAGTCATATATTACATTTTTTTAAATCGTGGTATTAAAATAAAAGGTATTCTTAGAGTGAGTGATGTTGCACTGCTGTAATAAGTAGACATTTTCTTTATCAAAGCATATACAATATGATGAGATTCGACGCATGGCGTCTATATGTTGCCCACGTTATGTCATGGAAGCACTATATAGTTCTACATTAATATTTACAATATCACGTACAAGTTACACGTTGTTCTAATCCTAGTTTCATATTCAGTAGAATCTCGTATATTTATATAAAACGACTAGAACATATCGTTCTATAAATGCCATCGGTTGGGAGAAGTGAAGTGGTGTAATCTTTTGATCACCACGGTCGGCTGTAAGTGACAAACGATAATTGGACCAATCCGCTAAATGTTAACTAAGTTTTTATTTAATTTTCCATGTCTGTGAAGAAAGATCTTGGGAGAAAATTTTGAAGCACAAATCTTCAATCGTTTGAGTTGAAACTTTGTGTACACGTTAAGTTTGCATGACTATAAATGCTTAGCTGTTGTAATTAACACAACCCAATAGGCTATTGACCTTGGGCGATTGGCGTTTTTGATATTTCAAAAACAGATTAAAAAAGTCGTTTTTAAAATTGGAATTATAAAATAAATAATGTATTATCATGACTTAAAATTAAAGTTTTTTGTTTATATTATTCGAAATTTATAAAAAACATTTACTTTTACATTTTTTCTTGTATGGTGTATAATACAATGTAAAAGTTTGTTGCAATATTTAGGTACACAATGTGTCTCGTATTTTTCAAGTTTATTTAAGTATATTTTGTTTATCACCTACAGCTGACCATGGGCGCTTACAATGTTTGAAGAAATGGACGTGTCGATAGAGACCTCAGGGCGAGGCGAGTGGTGCGCTAGGTGTCCGGTTGCAGCAGGATGAGTTCGTCGTGCAAGTAGTCCGGGTGCGACGCCGCGTGCGACACCAGCGCCGCCGTCGCCTGCTGCAGCCGGGACAGACCGCGGGGGACGCCGGGGGTCGGCCCGCCGCCCGCCGGCCCGCCGCCCAGGTCGGCCAGCAGCACGCGGGCCGCCTCGGGCAGCACGTAGCGTCGGTACGGGACCACGCTCGGCAAGATGTCCGTCTCCAGCCCCGACACGCTGCGACACATACATCACACATCAATATCACCATCATCACAATAAGGAAAGAACCAGATAATGTATCAATAACTGTATAAAAAATCTTTTAAAAAAGCAACGATGAAGTTCGTGAAACAAGTGAATTTATTTCTACAAATAGGCTACAGGGCAACACTTTTACACGTCAATTTTATAAAGCGAACGATGAGGTCGACATTTCCTAACTGACTACTCTGAGAAGAAATGCCGAAACAAACTCAGAGGTTTGTCTCTTTTAAAGTCCAGACAATGTGTATAACAGATTATGTGTGAGAACCGTGCAAGTTCTTTCTGTAGTGGCCTTTTGAGGAAAGAACCACGACAGTTTGAGCGGACCCGTTCTGAAGGCAGTACGCATGTGTCGGTTTACAGTCAGCTCAATTAACAAATGAGGCTGACTGATTCGACGAACAATACCAACCTAAAGAACATTTGCGTGGGGCGCACAAATACTCAAACTGCCAGAATATGGATTTGAGCGGCTTAAAGAAGGATTATAGTGTCTTCAAAGATCACGTGTGGAGTGTCCTCACAGTACTGCAGCACCAAATGCTTGAGTTCAGTAGGAGTTCCGATGTAATGGAGATGCGTCACCGGCAGAAGTTCCTTTTGCTTGGTGGAGTGCCTGAACAGCCCGAGGAGAATGTTGCTAATGTTATAGCATCCATATTGACAAGGCAGCTGGAACTTCCTGATGTAACACCGGCCTCGATTAAAGTTAGTCACCGACTGGGCGCTGCAACTGAGGGACGACCTAGACCTGTATTGTTCCGGTTTACTGATCTCGCTCTGAAGAAGAAGGTCTGGAGGGCCAAGACCAAGCTGAAGGGAACCTCCTATGTTCTCTCCGAGTTCCTGACGCGGCAGCGACAGTCAGCCTTCACCGTGGCTCGCAAGTTGTTTGGCGTACGCAGTGTGTGGACTATGGACGGTAACATAAACATAAAACTGCCGGACGGTAAGCGGCGCCGTGTTTTCAATTACGACGAAGTCGTGGAGTTAGGTTCAGAGCATGGTAGATCGTTGGAGGTTCCTCAGCCTCCATTGAGTACCAAAGCCGGCTCGAAAAACATGACTGTGTCGTCGCCGGCGCCGGTTCCTTCTCGCTCGAGGCGTAATGGTCCCAAAAAGTAACGTATATACTAATTCTTCAAAAATTCCTATTTTTATGCTTCTAGAATTTTCCTTTGTTAGTGATAGATTTAATAGTTTTATCGTCATACCGTCTAGTAATAAATAAACAAAATCAATATTTGTTTGACAAAACTTGTCAATGTCACTGCTGTAATAATGTCAAACTGTCAGTGCGTCAATTGCATGTTTCATTATGGTTTTATTTTTATTGAATATTTAGCTTCATGTCCTTTTAGATTGTCAATATTATTGCTTATATGGAATAAATATTTTAAATAGCTTCTAGTACTCTTAGATTTGTGACAGTCAACCGGCAGGTTTCCAAGTTGTAGTACCATCTTTAGTAGTACTATTTTTAATATAAACATTTAGCTTACACTTATTTATATATACATTTTATTTTATCTATTCTCATATTATATTATTTAGTATGTCCGACGATGACTCATTTCTTTCAGCTTGTAGTTCCCTTGATTCTTTTTCTTCTTCTCTTGACGATTGTTTATCCATAAACAATTTCTTACTTAATGAATGTCAGCGATTCCATAATTGCCTTAACATCTGCCACGTTAATGCTCAAAGTGTTCCTCAACACCACTCGGAGTTGTTGGATATCTTTTCCGACACATTAATCCATGCTATATTAATCTCAGAAAGCTGGCTCAAACCCGAGCTTCTTTCTACCTCTTACAGCCTACCTGGATTTATCTTAATCCGAAATGACCGAATAGGTAAGAGAGCAGGGGGTGTTGCTATTTTTCTTCGAAGTGACATTCCCTTTAAAATACTATCCTCTTCTCCATCCCTCTACAGCGGGACTCCGGAAAGTTTGGTCCTCGAGGTGGACGTCAAGGGGGTTAAGGCTGTTCTTGGAGTGGTTTACTGCCCACCTGCCATAAACTATTTTTCGCATCTAGAAACCCTCTTCGATACTATTTCCTCAGAGTATAAGCATCACATAATCATGGGGGATTTTAACACTGATCTAACAAAGACTACTCCTAGGTCTCGTGGGCTGAGGTCGATCCTTGATTCTTCGAACCTTTCACTTCTCCCACTAAATCCGACCCATTGTAATGTTGGATCCGATGATTCTTGGCTCGACCTCATGCTCGTGTCTTCCCTAGATCTTGTCGTTAATCACGGACAGGTCGCGGCTCCTGGTTTGTCAAGGCACGACTTGATCTACTTATCGTATAAAATCAAGCCTCCTAAGCGGCGACCCGCATTCGTATATATTCGGAACTTTGCGAGGATAGACAAGGTCAAACTTAACAGTGATGCTCAATCCATTGACTGGACCAACGTGTATCAATCGACTTCCATTGATGACAAAGTGAAAAACTTGAACAAGTCTGTCCTTGAACTTTTAGATTCACATGCGCCTTTGAGGGCAGTCCGTGTCAGGCGTCCACCGGCGCCTTGGATCACTCAGGGGGTCCGAATGGCCATGAGGCGTCGAAATAGGGCTTTCTGCAGGTATAAGAGGGATCGTTGCGAGGAGAACTGGGGATTGTACAGGATAGCGAGGAATCGGTGTAATCAGATGGTGAGAGCTGCCAAACGCCGATACATTTTTGATAATGTTCAAAATTCTTCACAGGCTGATATATGGAAGTTCTTGAAAACTTTGGGTGTTTGTAAGACGTCATCCAGTGTTTTGCCTCCGAACCTTTCACTTAATAGTCTTAACCTTCATTTTGCTACATCGTCTGGTTTGGCTGATGCTGTTAAACTCCAAACCATTTCTGAAATAACTTCCAAGCCTATGTCACTCCCTGATACTTTCTCATTTAGTCCTGTGACTGAACTCGAGATTCGACGAGTTTTTGCATCGGTCAAGTGCAGGGCGGTGGGCTGTGACGGGGTGGGCCGTACCATGATTTCCTTAATTACCGACCACTTCCTCCCTATTTTCACTCACATAATTAACTTTTCATTATTTTACGGTGTATTCCCCTCAATCTGGCAAAAAGCACATATTATTCCACTTCCTAAAATCCCTAACCCCTATCTGGTCAAAGATTTCAGACCCATTTCGATTCTCCCTTACCAATCAAAGATCCTCGAAGCAGTTGTTCATAAGCAAATCTCTTCCTACATCTCAAAACACAAACTACTGTCTCCTTTCCAATCTGGTTTTCGGCCCGGCCATAGCACTTCTACCGCCTTGCTGAAAGTCACTGAGGATGCGAGGTATGGTATGGGGGACTCGAGGTTAACTGTGTTGGTTTTAATTGACTTCTTCAACGCTTTCAATACGGTCGACCACGATGTCCTCCTAGCTATATTAACTCAGTCTGGATTCTCGTTGTCGTCTCGGGAGTGGTTTTCGGCTTATCTTCGTGGTCGCCAGCAGGCGGTTCGCATTGGTCAGGAACACTCTGACTGGTGCGGGCTGACGGCTGGTGTACCGCAAGGCGGTATACTATCTCCTCTGTTGTTTTCTTTATTCATAAATTCTATCACTAGTCGTCTCACGTGCTCTTATCATCTGTATGCCGATGACTTGCAACTGTATGCTCAGGCTTGTGCTGCCGACTTGCGGATCTGTATTCAGCATCTTAATGCCAACTTGCTCAATATAGAAGAGTGGTCTAAGAAGTATGGGGTCACCGTTAATGCTGATAAGTGTCAGGCCATTGTGTTGGGTAGTTCCTCTTATTTAAACCGTTTGAATATTAATCACCTCGAACCAATAATATACAATAAAGTTGTCATACCGTTGTCTCCTTACGTAAAGAATTTGGGCCTATACCTGGATGGTAGCCTCAGCTGGAACCATCAGGTTGCGCAGGTTGGTAAGAGAGTTACTGCTACGCTGCGATCCCTCTATAGATTTAAAAACTTTCTGCCCCCAAATACAAAACAGTTACTGGTCCGGTCCCTTGTGCTTCCTGTTATCGATTATGCTGATGTTTGTTACTCTGACCTATCCCAAGACCTTCTGAACAAATTGGATCGAATGCTCAATAACTGTATCCGTTTTATCTTCGGTCTTCGTAAATACGACCACATTTCTTCTTTTCGCGATCAGCTAAAATGGCTTCCTATCCGTGAGAGAAGATCTCTTAGATCCCTCTGCATGCTTTTCGCTATTCTGAATGATCCTTGTGCTCCTGAATACCTAAAGTCTTGCTTCCAGGTTCTGGGCAGTTCTCACAGCCGTAATCTCCGTTCTGCTGAAAATCTGCTTCTTGAGATTCCGTCCCACCGAACATCCTTCATTTCTAACTCTTTCACAGTTAGTGTAATT